ATTTAGTCAAAAAACTCCTTGTTTATACTATAACTAAATATACTTAAGTAAAAAGTCATATCATATTTTTTGAAGATACATTTTTTAAAATTTAACAAATACCTTTTTTCTCTTTAAAATTTTATCTAAAAAATAATTATATATTTTAAATATAATTATTCAAATTTGTTTAAATTATATTAATTAAATGTTTACTAATGTACAATATCACTACAAATATATGTTCTAGTAGTATTTGAAATAATATCGAAAATGATTTTGAATTCAACTATTTTTTCATTAAGAAATGTTTATTTATTTTAATTCTCAAATTTGTTAAAAATTAAAACAATTATGATTAGGACAATAAGTTATTTTTATTGTGATACACGAAAGAAAAAAAGAAATATGAAATATATTTTTATAGGTTTCTTTTAAATTACTTTTTTATTAACAGATGTTCTAGGTTTAGAAAGTTAAATTGATTACACTAGCTTTGCCAGAAGAAAATGATTTATCAACATTTTAGTATGATATACCTATTGTCTTAGAGTTAATATCCATCTGTTATATTATTGACAGTAATTATTTCCATGTACAGAGGTTACTATTTTCTACTGATTTTATGAAACTAAAAAGAGAAATATAAGAATAACATTCCCTAAAAGTTAAATTTTTGTTCTTATAAGTTATCAATACTTTAATTATCAACTATAAAATCTATGGGGTAATTGTATTTTATTTAAATAAATTATTGATAAATATGCAATTAATTTAATATAAATTATAATTAATAAAACTGAGAAAATTATTTAACTCAAAAACCCATAAAAACACATACTATTATGTGTTTAGCGTTGATAATGGTAACACTGATCCCATAATACGTATCCACGAATTATTTGGCTTTATTTTTATATTTTTTAGTTTTAAATTAATATTTGTATTATATAATAAAATTAATTTCGCTTAAAGAACATTGATATTGTGTAGTTGATAATTTTCCTGCAATGTAAGATAAATATTTTACATTATTTAACTTACATTATTACTGTACTATGATAGTACAGTTTGATAGACTACTATCAAACTTTTATGAAATTATTATGAATCTAGCAGCATTTTTAAAATGAATTTAAAAGGGTTAAGGTTTTTGTAGGTAAATCAACATTTTAAGTAAAAATAACCTAAAAGGTCACTAACATATTTTTTTTGATATAGACCCATTAAAAACCCCTGGTATTCCATTGTAAGAATGGAATTAACAAAATCATGTTTTGTTATTATAAACAATTGTGTCCATTGATTTTTTAAAAGATTTTAGTATACTTTCAAAATTTTTACTCGTATTGAATTACATCACCAGGAAATATTTACAAGATTGTAGAATGCGAAGTGGAAAATTGATTTTATCTGTTAAGACTACTAAGAAAGCTAAAATTGTATTAAAAATTAACATGGCTCTGATGATGACTGATTAACATAGTTTTTTGCGAATACTTCATAATTTGAAATTATTAGCTTGTATTAAATCTATTTGATTTTTAATAGTTACTGTTTTATTTCTTTATAGTTATAACTTTTTTCCAATGCATCTATTCTAGATATCCATCATTTTTTAGCACTCTGTAGTAATTTAATGACATCATAACTGTTTAACAATAAGTCTTTAAATATTAATTCAATATCTCTTTATTATTTGATAAATACATTTATCTGTGCCATATAAAAATTGCATTTAAAATTATCGTTGTATTATTTATAATTAATAACATTATTATTAATATTTCATAAAATTACAGCTGTTGTCCAACCGCTGTGCACAACTTATAGCTTTATAATTATCATTTTACAGATTGCATTCGAAACAGTTTTCTACGGTTCGATTAAAATATATTTTTTTAAGAATATATTTTCTCTCTAAGAACATATAAAGAATATTCTAGTTCTACATAGGTAACAGTTATTTTAAAATAACCGTTGTTGGCTTGTTACTTCCAAGATTGTAAAATCATATTTTTTTTAGGACTTCAAGTTTACTAAGACCGTCAGACAAACAGTAAATTTGATTTTAAATATTAATACATTATACTTATGTTGTACTACGTATCAATATCGACATTAATAATAACATTTCTATCATGATTATTGTTTTATAATCAATCTCACTATGATTTCATTATTTATAAACAATAAATCATACATTTTCAAAGAAATTCTGCAATAGATTTCTGACAAAATAATTCTATTATTAAAAAAAAATCGTTTGACATAGATTTTTAATTGTTTATCATCCAAATGCGATATGTTTTTGTGTTTATAAATTTTAACGGAACTACCAACAACGTTTACTATTAATCTAATAATCACCTTTAATAAAGATTAAAGATATTTTAATTAAATCTGTACATTATTAAAATGTCATTTGAATAAATAAAAAACTAGTTTGGTTGTCTTCAGCAACATTATCAAGGGTTATCTTACACTAATGTATTAAAAATGGTTAATTCGATTTAATAATTTTAACAATACAAATATCTAAATGCTATTTGGTAAGATAATATTAAAAACTAACGTTGCAAATTTATTTCTATGTTAGATAATAAGATAATTACATGAACACAATTGCAATTCCTTTAAATGAATAATTGTAATTCGTACTCAGAAAAGACAAAGTAATATACTTTTAAAAAACGGTTTAGGATTGTTGTGGGCACTATAAATATAGTTACGATTGCGTTTTCAATGTTAATTAAAATAAATATTTCAATACACACTTCAAATTTAGAATACCTCACCAAGGTTCCATTTAATTTTAATAATAATTTTTTACACCATACATTGTGTTAACGTAGCGGTCATGTATTAAAAATGGCCATCTCCATTTGTTCATTATTTAGTACATAGGTACAATTTGAACAAAATTTTCGAGATATCAAAATTTAATTTTTACCGGTTTAAAAAAATATTTTATATCTTAGCACACATATTTGATACATTGATGGGGGTTAAATAGATATTGAAGGTTAAGTTCCCATTTCAATTTATAAAATGAATGACTGGAGAAACCAAAACTACTATGAAATGGTTTTTAAAATTTTAACTTAAAATTTGACCATATAAAGTTTAAAAAACAAAATCAACTGTTGTATATTTTTCAAGTTAATTACGATTTTTAAACTTTTTTATATTCAAATTTAAAGTTCAATAAGGGTTTCGAAGCAAGTCTCGTAATATTTTTGATTTTTGTAATCTTTTTGCAACATTTACTTAAACAAAATTCTATAAAGAAAAATGTCCAAAAACCGAAATTATTTTGATTTTTAGCCCTGTTTCCAAGTTCAATTTTGTGTTTTTGGTTTTTTATTGAAGAAATATATATAACAAATAAAGAAATTTCAACAGTAATTTTATACTCGATAAAAAATATATCAATTGAGTTTACTTTAAAATCAAATATTCCAGGAAAATATTTTTAAACATAATTTTAGACTATTTAAAGAATTTAATGTCATAAACTCTAATTAGTAAAATATTCCTCTAACAATTATCTTATGCATTAAAACTATAGGCAAAAAATTGATTTTATCGAGGGAATTAACCCTTAACTACCGATGTGTGTTCTATCAGATCGCATCAAATTTTTGTTCACAATTTACTATTTATACATTGTTGTTAATTGTATTTTCTTTTAATGTACCTTTAAATGGTTGACACCTAGTTATTAATTATATGAAGTACAAGAGTACAAGAGGCAATCTGGTAGACCGCACGTCAGTATTTATGTCATTTATTTACACATCGGTAAGGGTTAATTATTGTAAATCTTTAACAATATTCAGCCAAATAAAATAAAATAATACTTTCATATTTACGATATTTTCTTTTAATTAAAACTTTTAAATAATTGTAGACCAACAATAAATTAATAATATTTGATAAAATGTCTTTCCAAAATTTAGTGGAAATACGAACCAAATTTTAAATCAAGATATATAATTTTTAAAGTAGCCAAGTATATTTCAGTTTAGAGGAGGAACTTGCATCCGAATAATTTTTGATATGACTAAAAGTATACATAATTTCCTCTGAATTGAACCAGTAATTGACAAAATATTTTTTTATTCTTATCATCTATTTTTATTTACCTTATTTTATTATTATTTCTTATCTATTTATTATTTAACTACTATTCACTATTTTTAATGGAATGTAAAATTCTATAAGAATATTTATAATAAATATATATATATATATATTATTAATATTATTTAAATCATTTAAATAAATATAAATTCTTTATATTAACCCAAAAAGTTTTTTTCACGTAAAAAATTGACGAAGTATTAAAAAAGTTAAATCAAAATTCCCTATATCATCACGTAGTTACAGTGGTGTAGCTTGAAGGGTAAAGAAGTTCTGTTCCTAACAGTCAACGGCAATATTCATCTCTTAACTAAAGTTATCAGTAAAAAAAAAAGGTTAAAAATATAGAATTTTGTAAATATTTCAGTGGCCCCCCTATTGTGAAATCCTGGCTATCACATTGACATAGTATACTAAATCTATCTATTCGTTTTTATAAAAGCTAACAAAAATAATATTTTTTAAAAATAATTATTCAAAAACTATTTTTTATAAATATAAATGAGAATAAGAGCTATCTGAAATCGTTATAAAACGTCCACATATGCCACACTTGTCACGTTTATTTGGTATATTATTTTTTCAAGTAGAATTGCTCAAGACAATATTGCCACCTTTAAAAATGCACATAACTCATTGGGATTTTATAGATAGTCCTCACTTATCGCATGTATAAATATTTTAGTAATGCAATAGTCTTCGCAGAATTATCGGATTAATTGCATAAATCAGTCCATTTCCATGGTGACAATATTATATTATTACTGTATACCTTTGATTAGAACCGGAAAATAATTAATACTTCCTTAAGAAATCCTTAATTTGCGAAATTCAATTAAACTACCCTAATATTTTTCTTGATAATTAAAACTTACCAAAATTAGTATACCTTTAAACGATGATCAGATATCCAATGTACACACTCAAAAGACCAAAAAAGATAACAAGTATAATAAAAACATTAGTTCGTGGTCTTCACAGTTGATGAAGAACACACGGTACACGTAAACTGCGCAAGAGCGGTACCGATGTAACTGGCCTGCGTGCCCGTCGTCTGTTGTTGCCACGGGCTGGTTGGTATTGGTCGGAGGTTAGTGGCGGGTCTCTCCTACCCAAACAACCGCCACCGACACAAAATAAAATCGGCACCGGTGTATGGACTGCCGCCGTGCATGAATTGCTTTCCTTCGTTATTGCGTCCAGTCTCCGGCATTATTCTCCTCAAACGAGTTTTATTTTCTTTTCTTGTCTGATGTGCGTCCGGTATGACGTATACTTAAATGGACGTATCGTAAGCATGACATTGTCCCACGATGAATTCTCCATTCAATCACCTCCTACGACGTATGATGATTTATAATTAGAAAATATTTTCTAAATATTTAAACTCTAGTATAAATGTCAAAATAAAAAATGTATAAAATAAAATGAATTCAATAATACTCGAATCATACTAATATAATTATAAATTAGTCACTTTCTATAACTATATAGTCTAAAGGGGAAACAATTTCAAATTGTTCAAATCCAATCCGGCTTATATGGTGGATGCACTGCACAGATGCATCGTCCGTTAAGGGAATGTCGGTGCAATTATCGTTACTAGCCGTAAAATACTAAAATATATCGTAATGTAAAGCAGATGGTGCACTCATATGTTATCGAATAACTAAAGACTATCGTGTTCGGTTAATAAATTGTTAGTTAGGTATTTAGTACTCAAATGATTTTAAAAGTCGATGGACTTGTTTCAATTTATTGAATTTTGTATCTAAACAACAATATTAAAAAATACTGTTGTTTTCTTCATTTTCCTCTCGTCCTTGATTACAAGCTGAATTAAATTGAATGCGACCAAATTAGCATTGATCCAATACAAATATTTAATTAACAGTTGATGGGAGTCAGAGATGAACGGGGCGACTATGTACTCCCCATTCCCCGTAATATTTAATTCAAAAATGGAGTGATGAGCAAAATAAGATCGTCAAAATGCTTAAGTTTCTTTTTCATTCCAACCAACAGAGTATACGAGTATTTGTGGTTTCAAAGTGACACGGCCCGCGTCGCTAAGACGTAAGTCGTGTCAAAAGTAAATCATTTACAAATGATTTTTAATTCATTTTAACTATTTTAACTCATAGTGTATTTTTAACTATTTTCCCGTTAGTAATAGCACAGCTAGACTATAGCCCCCCGTTACTCACCCATGAGTGCTCTTACTAGTAAACTTTGAACCCTTAAAAAACATCTATATTTTTCTGTATTATAATTAGACCTACACTTTTGATTATTTAAAATTGAGTTTATCCGCCATAATAATTTTTTAGACAATCAAACTAAAAATCAATGTCATCTTGACCCATTCTGTTGCTCGTCAATCACCGGAGTTTTCAAGTATTTTATAATATACCCATAGTTCTATGTTTTTAGAAGGTGCATTATTTCTGTGGTGTTTGAGTTACAGGGATCAAGTTAAAAAAAATAATCATTTTATAGCTCTTTTTACCACCAAATAGATTATTTCTTTTTAAATATTACGATGAATACACGATTTTTGAACTTAAGCTTCTTTCCAGAGTACCACAAATTTTAGTACGCGTAAAAACTCTGAGGGTACAGTCAATTTTCATACTTCTGTTGAATTAGTTATGACAACAATAATAAAAATAATTTTAATGAATAACAATATTGGTTGAGGGATATTTTACAAAGATAAATTATAAATTTACATTAGGATTATTCCTTTACCGAAAATTATTCATTTCGTAACTTTATTGTAGTATAATCTCCTTGAAAACTCAACAACTGAAATTAGAAGGATTTGTTGTTTGTTTGTTATCCTTATCATAATTAGATAAACCCAACCATGATAACTTACGTTTTTGTTGTTATTCCGTCATAATTTCTGGCATCTGAACTCAAAATGTAAATAAATAAAGAGTCAAAAAATTATTATTTTTTTTTACAGAACATGGTACATTTTGTAATTTTCATTACTCTGTATAATATAAATGTAACTACGAATGAAAAACATTTCTTAGTTCATGTGAATATGTAGAATAACTTTTTTTGATATCTATAATTACCCGTTAAAAATGATTTATTTTAGTTTTTACATTCAAAAAATATACTAAGTTGTTCCGCTCAGACTAATTTTATGACTGTGATAATGTGAGATTTTTATTTTTAAAGAAGGATAATCATGTCAATTGTATATTTGTTGTTCTTATTAATATTTTTACAAGAAAACACAGTATGCAATTGCAAAAATGAATGCCCTAAAAAATGTGAGTGTCTTGATACTTATGTAGATTGTAGCGGAAAAAAGTTAAACAAATTTCCTGAACCTTTACCTCTATGGACGGAATCATTGTAAGTTATTTTAAATAATAATAATACAATATTTAAGTTTTAAAAACATTTCTTTTATTTGTTCAATCAAATAAAAAATTGGATGATTAAATAAGTGACATACTTAAAACTATTCACAAAGAACTTTTTTTTATAACATATGCATTATAATAGCAATTATATAAACCTCATTGTTGAAAATGGATTTATAATTTTCTTAAATCTTATTTTTTAAATTTAAAAAAAATATTTTTTTAAATGTTACTTCAATTTCAAAATTATGCAAAATTTAAATCTATAAAATCAATTTAAATGTATTAATATCTTAATCTTTTTCAGAGATTTAAGCTCCAATAAAATTAGTGGGATTATTAAAATAACGATTGATAGCTACTTTCGTCTATTAAATTTGTAAGTATTGTTTTAAGTTTTCTATTATTGTATTACAATACTTAATGATAATAATTGATTTTTACTGTGTAATTTTGTATATTAGAAAATTGAATAAAAATTCAATTATCACCTTTCCATTCTTTATGAATAAAACAAGGATCAATATCCTCAATTTGTGAGTAATGTTTTATTTAAATATTATCTCCAGTTTAATTCTATGCTAGATCTTATTTCCAGAGCACATAACAAAATTGATAAATTAGATTATGAAACACTGAAAAACTTACCAAATTTAACAACTTTAGATTTGAATCAAAATAAGTTAACAGTTTTGAATAACAATATTTTCCCATCTTCCAATCAGTTACGGGCACTGTATGTATAACACTTAAAAATATTTTCAAATATTATAAACATTATACTATTTTAAACATTATGATATTTTAGCAATCTAAACAACAATTATATATCAAGTATTAATGTAAACACATTTGACTCATTAGTACATCTGTTAGAGTTAAAGTTATCCCACAATAAATTGAAAAATTTACCAATTGGACTATTCAAAAAATTAGATAATTTGTTGTTTTTGTAAGTTAAGAGTTTTGTCTAAATAGTAATATATTAGTTTAATATTAAATATTTAATTTAGTTTTAAATTTTTTTGTGTTTAATTAATTTATTGTACTCTATGTCTGATAAGTGTTTATTATTCATAAATATATAAAAATTAGCAAAAATATGAATATTATAATAATTTAGAAATTATTTTTTTAGAGATTTAAGTAAAAATCATATAACAGTTATAGAAGGGTTATTATTCAAAGATTTAGGAAATCTTAAAACCGTTATTTTACGACAGAACAATATTGAAGATTTATTGGATGGATCGTTTTATGGTTTATCAAGTTTAAAAGCTTTGTATGTGTAACTGAAATGAATAATATCTATTTTAAGAAAAAAAAATGTCTTTCTAAAAATTAAAGGTTCAATAATAATGTAGCTTTATTTTTCAAAAATTCTTATGAAAAATATAGAGGTTATTGTATAGAATGTAACTGAAAAGTATTATTCTATATCTTATTTCTAATAAATTTATTGAATATTTTTCGTTTTCATAAAAATAAATCTTATTTTTCTCACCAAATTACATTTTTAAACCCTAGAGAAAATCAAATAATGATAAAATGTTTTGATTTAAATTTTTCATTTGTTTTTCTTATTTATCTAGACACTTAGAAAGTAATAGTTTAAGCAAAGTTTCCAAAGGATGGCTTTATGGACTTAATTCACTTGTCTATTTAAATATTAGTCACAATAAAATAGACGAATTAAAAAATGGATGGGAGTATTGTCCTACATTGGAAGAGCTGTAAGTAATATAAAGTAATATTACTCACATTTATGTGTAGACTAGTCAGGTAGGTAAATGGCAATCGTAATCTAAATTTTCTAGAATTGTTATAATTTGGTTATACTGTATTATAAAGGATCAATAAAACGATGAGTAAAAAAAAAAATTCTTCAAAATATTACTAAGTGAATCTTTAGAAAACTTGTAAGATTACAAGTAACTTGTACCCTTGTAAGACTTAGGATCTTGATTTGTTCATATATTGATGAAAAAATTATACTTAAATTATTTTTTAACTTCAATGATTAATTATTATTGTGTCTTCAATAGAGATCTATCAAACAACAAGTTACAATCTATTGAAGAGAATAGTTTAGAAAATTTAGGGAAATTACAAAAGTTATATTTGGATATCAACAGAATATCTTTTATTGAAGAAGGCTCTTTTAACAATACACCATCTTTGCAAATGTTGTAAGTTGATATATTTTGTATTAAATTAAATTGTTGTCAGCTTCACTACAGATATTTATAAGTTATTATTTGAAGCAAACATTTTTTTCTCAGAAGGTTTCCTTTTCTGTCTTACCTAACTGAGTGATTTGCAATACCATTTAGTTATTATTTTAGGAAGGAACATATGATATTATAATATGTTAAATTATAATTTCATTCATTTAATAATTTTATAAAAATTACTTATAGTTTTGTAATGAAGATGATGATGATAATTCTTACAAAATAATATTTCAGTTAACTTATATAAGACATACAAATAATTTACTTTCTTCTAAACGTTTTCGTTATACATGGTGTATTTAATTTTTTTAGAAATATGGATAATAATCATTTAGCTTGGATGGTTGAAGATGTTAGAGGACCCTTTAATGGACTTAAATACTTGAAAAAATTAAGTTTAGCTGCAAACAATATATTGTACATTAAAAAAGATGCTTTTTATGGTTTGGAAAATCTGATTGAATTAAATTTACTTCACAATAATATTGTGGAAATTCAAGAAAGTTCTTTTAAATATTTGCCTCGTCTTGTTTATTTATATCTCAACACATCATCTCTTGTATGTGACTGTTCATTGTTATGGCTCAAACAACCTTCGATTAATGAACCATTATCAATAAATTTTATCAATGCTTTTTGTGGATTTCCTGAAAAAAATAAAGGGAAAAGCTTAGGTCAAATACCAGTGACTGACTTTTTATGTTGTAAGTATTACAAGATCTTATTTATATAAATTACATCTAAGATTAAAAAAAAAATTGATTGTAAAAATTCTACTTTATTTTAGTAAGTGAAAGTCCAAAACCATCAGTTGTGCTTCATCCAGAATCAAAGATGGCCCTAGAAGGCCAAAATATTACTTTGAAATGTGGAGTGAACTCATCTTCATCAGAAAAAATGCATTTTATTTGGAAAAAAGATAATCATGATTTAGATTCTTTGTCTATTAATCATTTTCATTATTCTTCTTTTGAATACAATGGAGTTACTCAATATTCTATTCTTACTTTAACAAATATTTCTATGTCTCAAAGTGGGAAATATCAATGTGTTGCATCTAATGAATTTGGAATTGCATATTCAAATCGTTCTTTGTTATCAATTGTTGGTATGTTTATTATTTATAATTTATTAATCATTAATTATTTTAAGTTTTATGATTGAAATTATAATTTAATTTTATATTGAAATAATTTTATTTTTTAGTATTTCCATTTTTTATCAAAGTACCTGATAATAGTTCAGTTAAAACGGGTTGTATTGCTAGATTAGAATGTGCAGCAAATGGCTATCCTATTCCACAAATATCATGGCAAAAAGATGGCGGAAATGATTTTCCTGCAGCTCAGGAGCGTCGTATGAAAGTTATGGCCAAAGATGATGTGTTTTTCATTGTTGATGTTAAATTAGTTGACATGGGTGTGTACAGTTGCACAGCTAAAAATATAGCTGGAACAACTGCAGCAAATGCAACATTAACAGTTCTAGGTACTAATTTATGATAAAATTATACTAAATAAATTGTTTTATCACTTATTGTCTATGGGCTTGTTAGAAATCTAATTACAACCCAGTAGTTACTATACCATAAGATATCAAAATGTTTTCCTTGAGCATATTAGCTATCTTAATTTTGCTATAATAAAAAGTGATAGGAAACACATTGTGTGTCCAGATTTGAATACTCATCAACTTATTCAAGAGCCAACAGAAATAATGTAGCTCAAAATCAGTATGATAATATTTTGGCCGATTCCCTTTACCATGCTACATCCTTAAAATCAATTTATTTCTATTATTATTTAATTAGTACTTAAAGTCCTCTTGTTATAGAGAAACTATACAAGAGAATGTAACTCAATGGCTGAATGGTAAGATAGATAAGCCCTATATTATCTAACAGTCATTTGCGTTTCTCTTGACCCTCAATATGGAAATTCTATATAATAAAGTGCAATGAAAATAAAATTATATAACCATGTAATGGTAAATAAAATAAAATATTTACTTAGGCTTATAATTATAAATATTTTTTCATGTAGACTTATATTAGTAATCTTCTATTGTTAATTATCATTATTTTTTTACAAAATTTTATTTAGAACCTCCATCATTTGGAAGTATAATGTATGATAAACGAGTGAAAGTTGGAGAAGAAATAGTTTTAGAATGTTTCAGCAAAGGATCTCCAAAACCAAAAATAAAATGGATGAAAAATGGAATTTCCCTCAATTCAAGTAACAGGCATTTTTTCACTGCCGATGATCAACTCTTAGTTATTATGGAAACAAATGTAGAAGATTCTGGTAATTATCAATGCGAAATAGCAAATTCCTTAGGGATAAAAATACAAGAAGCTGAAATTATAATTATGCCTTGTAAGTAATATTTTATTTATTGAATCATATGAGTAGCTAATATTCTTATTTTCTATTTATGGCCAATTTTATCTATTATCAGTTTTATGTCTAGTTTTGGTTAAGTATTATTTGTGTTAAAGATATTTGAATGTAAAAAATAGTGCAATGATATTGGATGGATATTCCTTGTATTATGCACAATAAGAAGCTATGTATTCAATTGCATTCAGCTTATACAGGACATTATATAATTTTTACTAATAAAAAATCAAGGGGATATTAAAATTTGTCACTCACACGGTGGATCACTTGCTATAAATCTTAATTAAAATAATTTATTTACTTGACAAAATTTATTAACCCAACAAATATTTAATATTTTCATAAAAATCTCTGTATTTTTATAGTTTTCAAATGTTAAAAACTAATAAAGCAAAAATATTTTTGTGAATAAAACATTTTTAGTTATGCAACATTTATACAGGTAATTGATTTATTATTGATCACTAAATTTCTCATGAAATAAAAACTAATTTTAAGAATTTTTGGATTTGTTAAGGGTTAAGGGTGGGTATGCTTGTTTTTTTTATTTTAATTTTTTTTTTCAATAACAATATAAATATTTAACTGTTTTAAATGTTAAAAAATTATTTAAACCAAGAAATGGCTGGTCGAACACAACTTATTAATTGATAAATAAATATTGTTCAATGAAGCTAAAAATATTTTTTTATCATTATTATTTTAGGAGAAATCTAGTGGTCAATGATAAATCAATCACTCTGAATAAGATCAAGAACTAATTTGTTTAAATAAGCTGATATTGTTTAACTTCTTAAACATGTAAAACTTCATGTTGATACAGATATTATCTCCATTTATAACTATTTGTCTTTGGTTTATTCAGGAAATATCATTATCTTTTATTCTAAACTCAAACTTCTTATACTTTCACATTTAAAATTATGTTTTATTTCCTACAATATTAGTGAATATCAGAATCTGATCTATAAGTTAAATAAGTTATAATATGTGAATCTAACAAATTCAGAGATTCTCTTTTTAACTTTCTTCCAATTAGGAAGAACTCCCAATCCCTACATTAACTAAAAAATGCAAAAATGACTGGATATAAAAAAAAGAAGAAGATTTACAAATACATTTAACTTTTGCTCTAACTCTATTCTATAATTTTTTTTGTGAATAAATAAATAAAGTTATTTAGTTACTAAAATGGATGGTGCACAGTTTAAGGTCATAACAGAAGTAAAATACATATAGGTAAAGGCAGGGTTTTATGTGAACCTTGTCATTAAATAGGTCTAGTTGTAAAATTCTGACCCTGTCATATATTAATATATATGTATATTTATCTAAATAACTATTGTATAAGTTATTTACAATATTGGTATATCATTGTGTAAATAAAAAATTTATTAATATTATTTTTATTTTTCGATTAAGTGGTTCATAATAATTAAATCACCTTGAATATTAAATAAAAAAAAGTTTTTTTTTTTGCTAATACTCCACTCTTACTGGTCTGATTTTGCTCAACAATATGTCAAAAGAATACAAAACATATCTAGTTGAAGCTATCAGTTCCATTATTTCAAAAAATTTCCCATAATCTTAGTAGTAATGAGAAATGTCTCAAAAAATTACTATTATTATGACAATGTTAATGTTAAAATTTTTAGTTTTGACTTTTTGTCAATTCAACATTTTGAATATTGGCCGTATAATTTGCAAGTTTCTATTGACAATATTGAGACTTTAACCTTGCTGACAAAATGCTTATTTTAAAATTTCAATCGTTAACTAAAAGTACTGTGGGATTTTAAAAATCATGAAAAAATTTTTTTTTAAGATAATGTACCAAAAATCAGATATTTTCAATCTTACATTAAATTAAAGCTAGTACAATGTACTTGAATTGTATTAAACACGAAAAGAAAAAATATCCGAAATTTCGATTTCTAAGAGTTGTTGTGTAATAAATCCAAAAATCGGTAAAAACGGCCAATTTTGTAATTTTTTTAAAAAGCAAAATATTCTAATCATTCTAAATTATTTAAAATTAAAGATAATTTAATGTAATATATGATTAAAAAAAGGAAGATATCCTAACGACTTATCTTTTATGAGTAATCGTCTTCTAAAAACAATAATCTTGTAATTTTTTGTGATCATTATAATTTTTTTTTTAATTTGTTATGCATAAAATATGCATTGAAGCATTTTACGACATAGAATTTAATCACTGCCAAATTTCAATCAATATTAATCTAAAAAAATACTGCAACTCCATTACATTGGGTCCTAGCTATACTTAACTTTTATATAAAATTATTAAATATCTAATTACATTTTATATTTTAGATTATCGAAGTTTAATCCATGACTATGCTCTTGGATTGGTTATTATTGCAGTAATTGTGTGTATTGTTATTACTTCTGCTATTTGGGTACTATTCATTTATCGTACTAGACGCTCATCCAGCTTAATAAATAATAGTTCTGACAACAAATCAATTAACTCTATGAATAGCAAAGATAGTGGCACAGGTGAATCACCAAAAAGAAGTGAAGAACAACTTTACACAGAATGTAAGTTATATTATAATTAACTATTGTTTTTAACTATTAGTTAATGTTTACATATTGCCAATTTTTCCTTAAAAATTATCTTTTTATAATAATTTAAAAAATAACCTGAACGATATTTTAAAATAACAAATTATTTGTTATAATATATAAAACAAAAGTACAAGTTAAGTAGAAAATATGAGGACATTAACTTAATCTTTCAAATATCATTATACATTTTTAATTAGCTTACATGATACTTTATAATCACTCAAGAAACTAGTATTTTGAAAGTTGTATACTAATAAATTGTTCATATTATTAACGGGGCTGCTACAAATCTTAACAAAACAGGTAATGGCAGAGAATTTTATGAAAGTACCTGGAATTTAAAAAAATAGTTTTATAGTGTAGAACAGGGATGTTGACTCGCAAATTAACAGACGAGGGGGTATAATAACTATGGTTATAGCTGTGGTGGTACAGCTTGCTCTAAAAAATTTGGCTATTGCTCCTTATAAAAATGTGATGAGCAAAAAGAAAAAGATCAAAAATGAATGCTACGAACGATATTATGCTAATTATAGAGGCTCTCATCACTCTATAGGCATCAGTCTAGGGGACTATTGCCCTCTTGCCCCTGTGACCAACTTTCTTCTAGTGTAGTGGATTTTTGTTAAAATTTAATAAAACATTGAACTATTTTAATTTAGAAGATATAGAATAGGTGAAATTGTTACCATTATTGTGATAATACTTTATTATTTCCATGAGTACTCTTTTTCATTTTTATTTATTTAAATAAATAAGTGTATTATCTAATATTTTCTTACACTATTAACTACAGTACTAAATTTTACATTATTAGGTGAGGTTATTTTAAAGAACCTTTTTTTTGTGTGTTGCCTCCTTGGAAAAGTCTCTGAAAAGTAAAGGAATTTTAAAATTGTGACAACTCTGATTAAACAACTTAAGTAACCCTATTTTTTTTTTAATTATTCAGTGATCTTTAAGGTGTCAAATAAATACATTAAAAAAGCAATTACTGAGGATTTGTGGTGTTTATGTTAGGTATAAGTTATACATATGATGTGGAATTATGTGCATCTATAAATTTTGTTTCTGTCACTATAAAAAGTTCCATGTTTGTGCAACTTCGTTTAGGATAATATAGTAGTGATATATAAAAATATTTTTCGTTTAGGGGTAAAGCCCCCTAATACTATAACCTCAATAAAAACATATTACTAAGCTCATGTCTATTAATAAAAATTGTGTACTGTATAATGATTTGTTTGGAATAACTTAACAAAAAATGCATATAATTTTGCGCTCTACTTATAAAAACAAAAATATAATCTGCTTTTAATTATCAATACTACAATCTATAATAATTATTTATAAATGTTCTTTTGAGAGAATTTAATTATAATTAATGTACTGTTTTCTATAATAATTGTAGGTTTAAATTCATGTTCCAAATCGAATAATGGTAAAAGCGACTTAACTCCTGAAATAACGATACCATTATTACCTAGTGGTACCGTTGTATTGGGTGATAATTCAGTTAAATACTGCACGAATAATGAATTAGCCATGCCTGTGCAATTACCAATTCAAGAATGTAATCATGATGATCGTAAATGTGGCAAAATTTATTGTTTTAATACTTCACCAAATCGTCCATGTTCTATTCCTATTTATCCTGCTAATGCACCTCAGTATTCTTCATCATTCGTTCAACAACCAAATTCTTATGTTTGTCTATATGTTCCAACAGAAAAAAACTAAGTAATATTGTTCTTACGTAATATAGTTTATAATTTATTATTGCTGACTAGTATTATAACAAATATTTTTAAATTACTATATTTTATCCTATTTAAAGTAACTTAAATATGTATAGTATCGAAATGGTTCCTGTTTTATATATTTTTTTAAACGTATTTTTTATATAATTTTTGTATTATTATTTGTATTGAACAAATAAGTATTCATTAACTTTTTTTTTTATGGAAGCATATTTTTTTTTTTTTTTTTTTTGGTCCTATAAATATACATTTTATTAAGTGTTAATCATTAATTGAATTTATTTCTAAAAAAATCCCATGTTATTTAAAAGTTCTTAAATTTTCAGTATTTTATTGTTATCCCTCAAATTGTTTTAATTAGTTAATTAATTTGCTTCAAAAACTGATAACAAAATATGTTCATAAAAATTTTTTTAATTGACGTTATTACTAGATGCACTATTCAGTAATTTATTTTTTTATTTTTTTATAGCCTAAAATATATTGTTAAGTAATTTGAATTTTTTCAAGTTTTAACTATATAACTATTTTTGAAGTAATAAATATATTTATAATTATTACATCTTGATTTTTCTAAATTAATTCAATGAAATCTTGTGATGTTAATAATATTTTAAAGTATACAGATATAATTATGATTACACGAAGATTAATTATATATATTTACATATTAAAAATGGATTAAAATATTTTTCGCAGTAATTTTTTAAAGGAATTGTTATAAAATTATGTATTTTTTCATTATAAAATGGTGATAAAGTTTATAGTATAGTACATACTCAATATACAATTGAGTATGTTCTATATTATAATACTCATTTGTATTTTGTATTATTGAAGTGAAATTTCTTTTTTTTATAACTATGACTAATTTTTTTCTTTAATTGAATTTTAATTATTTATCATATTAAACTTGAGATTTTCAAAAAAATGTCGATGTTTTATTTAAGATTCTATTATATTATATTTTTGGTAAATTTATAAGTAATAAAATTTTTAATTTGTTTTACATCATTTTGAAACTGAGCTTCTTTAAATCAATTAAAATAAAAAGGCTAAAATATTTCTAGTGATATGAACAATAACCATGTAATTAACTAAATAAAAATATACATTATTCAATTATTATATGTTTAGCAATATATACAATTTACACAAATGTTAAATCTAATAATTTTTGTTTTTAATCATTATCACAATATTATTTATATTCAAAAAATAGCCTTAATAGTGAAATAAAATAGGTCGTTTATATGTACAAACAAACTGTAATCATACTAATTTTAAATAAAATTTGAGTTTCATTTCAAAGAATAGATGAATCAATAGGTCTATACATCCATTCGGTAGATTTAATAAATTCTAGCTCCTTTTGAAGTTCTTTTAATCTCTTTTCATGTTCCTCTTCATTAATCAATTCATTGACAATTGAATTCACCTAAAATAAAATTAGTTATTCATTAGTTCATTATTTTATTAAATTAATTTTATATTTTAAAACTATAAGTTTTAAAATCAAAAATAATTGATAAATCTTGATGTGTATATTTTTTTAAAAGAGGTGGTTTTTATCCTCTTAGATTAAATATCTAATTAAGATTAGATATTTAATCTAAGATAATAATTTAGAAAAATTACTTTGCTATAACAATATTCTAGCAAAAATTATTAAGGCATTTGCGTACTGATCGTTTTTTAGTCAAAATTAACCCACTTTTTTCCACCAGTACAACGGAACTACAGGTGTAATAAGAATTTCAAAAATAGATCTGAATTCAGTATTATGTATCATTCATGTTACTTTTTTTAATTTATTATTTTGACCCTTAAATATAGTTTACATTTTTGAAAATTTTCATTTTTTCAAAATAAATTGTTGAGTTGAAGAAATGAAAATTTAATTATTTATAATTATTTTATTAATTATAAAAGTAAATTAATTTATGAATAAAAAAAAAAAGAAGGAAAATCATTTTTTAAAAAAGCTGGTCAGACATGAATTTTAATGAAATATAACCTTAGTATAATAGGATACTCTTAGAATGTAAGGGATATAAGTGACAATTTAAATTAAAAAAACCCAGTACAATGGGATCGCCGCATAGTGGGGACGTGGCATAGTTGGGTCCAGTATAGATTTAATCTGACAGTGATTAAAATCACTATCATAAGAAACGCTTCAATGCAAGTCTGTAGAGAATGTTTAATTTTTAGAAATTGGTGGATAATTACAAAAGCAACATTAACTTCTATTTCCTTAATTATATCCAGATTAGTAATTCTTAGATTCAAAAATATAATATTGACACGGTACCATGTTTCCTTCAGCCGCACATCACGTTATTAATCTAAATGAAAGTGTATCGGGATCTGAATCATAAGTGCACGGTGGCCTAGTGGTAAAGTTGGTCTATACAACACCTTGGGTCGCGGGTTCTAATCCTGTACCGTGTCTCTTTTTTTCACATGATTTCTGGTACACTTTCTATAACCGGCCATCAATCGCCGGCAGACGTGATAATATAAAATTATATATTATATAAGTGTTATATTGAATTGTTTTCAAATTATTATTGATTTTGATTTTTAATATGTTAATGGTAATATAATTTAACCTATTATATTTCGTCCTTTAAAGTGAAAGTTTATAATAAAAAAAATGAATTTATTACCATAACTTTTAGCTCAACTTAGAAGTTTGAAATTAACATTATTAAATAGCAAAAAATGAAATTGTTTAGATTAATATGCAGTCAACAAATTTTATAATTACTATTTACAGTAGATTTATCAGAAAAGTTCGATTTTTTTACATTTTTATCGTAATAGATTACTTAAATAAAAATCATAGTAATCATTTTTAATTGACTTTTGGTGTTTAAAAATATTCTACAATGGAAATATTTAGAACTTAATTAATTTTAATGATTTACTTTAACTAAAAGAACCAATAAAAAAAAAGTTGTTAAAAAGATTTACTCAATTGAGCGTATTATAAAATTTGATTATAATTGTAAAAATTCATCGTTAAATTCAGGTGAAACTAAAAATCATTTTTTTTTAAATTTATGATTTATATAGCAACATGTTACAAAAAAATTTGAAATATTATAGACTGGTAATAGCACACACAAATAGAGTTAAAAAATTAATAAATTACAAAGTAAAATTATTTACTTTTGTAGTTGAATACTTTTATCATATCAAATCTAATTAGACAATAAATACTTTAAAAATATTAGAAATGAATGATTTTAATTGTTTGTATGGAAAATTACTCTCTTGCTCCTTATATCATTTTACAGTTTCAATCTATTATAGTAATTTACTTTATTGTTTTCTTTCTCCAGAGCATGAGTATTATTATTTAAATGAAATTACTTAAAATTTAGTACTTATAACAAGCTGTCAAGATATAATATTTTTAAAAATAATATCTTATTAAATAAATAAATAATAGTGTATTAAATTTAAATTTCATTACCTGTTCATTAATTCCATATGAATGCTTAAAAAAAAAAAATCATTAGTTTGATTTCATTATAAAAAATCAAAACAATTTGTAGTAAAAAAAAAACAAAATAGATTATAAATTAAAGTGAATTAAGCTAATTTTTAAATTTAATTTATAATATTAGAAATTGCTATTAAAATTACTCACTGGTTTTACAAATACCTTAACGCGTATTGGTGATGTTGAAGAATCTGTTGATTTTTCTTCATTGTTACTTAAAGATGATTGAACTTTTGATGTTTTTTCTAATTCAGAATTCTCAGATATTGATTTTTCTGAAGATGCTGTAGATCTCCAAGAGTGTGAAGAAGATTCATCAATTTCATCATTTTCACTATCACAATATTGAACATTTTCATTTGAATTGTTTGAATCTTCATCTAGAACATACAACTCTTCATGACTAGAATCATCACTTGTTTCTAATTCTTCATCTAACTGGAAAGTAGGGCGACGTCTAGGTCTTGAGCTTGATGGTATATCACTCATTGTTCTGGTTAATAAAGCCTTTAAATAAACATTATTAAATGTATTATTTAACAATATGTTTACAAAAAATAAATTAATAAAAATAGACAGCACTAAAATATCAAGACTCTACATTACTGTTGAAATTTCATGAAATTCTCAATAAAAAAAAAAGTACATTTTATTTTAATTAACTGTTTCTTTACAATTAATATAATTTGTAGCTTTTTAATTACAGTAAATAAAAAAACAAGACAGAGCCAATAACAGTATAAAAATTATCACAAAATAAGTTTGTTATTGTATGAAATGTTTAAAAAAATGATGAAGATTATTCTATGCCTTGTTAGTTTTGAAAATTTTAAGAATTCCCTGGGTAGTTCCAAATACGATTTTTTAGAATTAATTTTTATCCACTTTTTTTTATATATAAATTATCATGCAGTTATATTCTAAAAGTATAAAAATAAAAAAATTCTTATATAGTTTTGTTTAAATTAACTTTTATATGTATAAATTAAAATTTTTTCTTTATAATTATACAGAAGAATAATGAAAAATGAAAAAGTTGTATGCTTTAAAAACGTAATGATAAAATTCTTATTTTACTAATCAGTAGTTAAAACTAAAACTAGGATAATTAGAATTGCTTATAGAAGAAGTTTAAAATTTTATAAGGTGAATAATTTACTCTAAAAATAAGGTATGTTTATGTGTCTAGTTGACATTTATGTCAAGAAACCAACATGATTTTTTTTAAACAACTAATCTTTATATAACATATAAAGATATACATACCAAGTAAATTAAAACATGAAGTAAGATATATTTAAAGAGGGTCATGTACTTGAGACATTGATATTGTTGAGGCATGAATTTAAAAATATTTTAATTATTAATGTGTTTAATCTTTATAAAAAATATTACACTTATTACTATTAATGATTGGATTTTTATATATACCTTACATGGTTTTAGATTCTAAGGGCAGCAAAAAATACATTTGTTACATCATAAGGTGTCTTATTATAATATGAGGAAATTAGGGTCAAAGGGACCATTTTTACAGAACTGTAAAATGTTTAAATATATCACTAACATAGACTAATTCAAATGGACATCCACATATAATGATAAAACAATGAATATATCAGTTTTTATTATTTTTATCAGATACCGTTCATATTACTATAAAAATAATATATAAAGATTCATATTTAATTTAAGTCATAGTAAAAATTATAAGTGCTATATTCAAAACTATACATCCTTTTTAGTAAAAAAAATCCACAATATCTATTTTGTAATTACATTAAATTTATGAAGCATCCAATCAAACAAAGATTGTTTTAATGTCTTTGAACGTTTTCTGATAAATCCATATCCATTTGATAGCAAATCCATATAACCACACTATATTGCCTATCAATAAAAATATTATATTACATAAAATTAATAATTAAAGTTGAATACTCATGAAATCTATACTTTATAAAATTGTTTAAATTTATATAAATTTTAATTTTATAAATTTACCAACACCAGTCATGATTTTTCCGTTTTATATTAAATTTAATTTCTACAATTTATTTTCTCTTATTTTTCTAAAATTAAACACTAATTTAGAAAAATAAAATATTATTTGTATATATTCGCTAAGTATATTAATAAAAATATACTTTACATTTAATTGGTGATTAAACTGGTAAAAAACAAAAAAAGTTTAAGATCTTATTATTACTTTTTATAATTATTGAAGTATCAAATTTTAATATACATATTAAAAAATGTTTAATTGTATGGTACATTATAATTTTAACTATTTAATTAATTTAATAATTATATTAGATTCAAAATATTATAATAAAATAAACTTCAATTATTACATTTGTTACTAATTAAATAAACATAAGTTATTAAAATATAATTTATCAAAAGAATAATAAATTGAATAATTAAAAATGTGTTTACAAAATGTACTTTTGTTAATGTTATTTTTCACGTGAATTTAAATTATTAATAAATAATAGAATAAACATATAAAAGGGAAAGAAAAAATTAACAAATATCAGCTAAAAAAAAGCAATAATAATAATAATAAGTTTTTAACTTAACAAAAATATCTTTAAGCTTGATGGTAGAAAAACAAAGATAGCTGAGTTATTATATGAAAAAAAAATTCATTAAATATTAAATTTTAAGACTACAATACAGTTAACAGTAGAAAAATTCTCTATTAGAAGTGTGTCTTGGTTTATAAGTACAAGGGTTCATTTCTCTAACATTAGGCTATGTTGGATTTCTTGTTTTTTTTTTAACACAAGTATAGCTTTTAAGAGAATACATTAAAACATAAAACGAATAATAATATTAATATAATAAGATCTATTATTATTTCGTGTTAAACTACCTTGTATATTAATATAATAGAATGAAATTAACATTAAAAGGTATGAATCGGTAACATAATTAAATAAATAATAATAAATAGTTAATTTGGTATCAGTTTGGTTTGATAACGTAGTTTAATAATATTGGGAGTTTTATATCAAATTCTTTCAAACCAAAACTTGGTAACTTCTATTCCTTCCTTGGTCACTGACATCATGTCAACCAATATGCAAGGGGTAGAGCAGCTTGGGCAGTTTATTAGGTGGGTCACGGTCAGAGTCTGTCCGCAAACACAATATGTACAGTAGCGCTCAAAAGTATTTTGACAAACACGTTAATGGCGATTTAAAAAAAATCTGAACAGGAGCAATAAATCTTATGACTCTGAATTGTGATTAAACGTAAAAAAAGCAAGAAGAAACAAAAAAATGTACAAAAACGTAAGTATAAATATTGGAAATTAGCTTTATAGGAGTTTACCGCGCTCAATAGTATTTTGACAAAAATAGAATCAACAAAAATAAATATTTTCTTAAAAAATAATTAACAAAAAAACAAGCAAAATCACAGAAATTAGTGACTGAAAGTTCAATATTTGGTAGTGTATCCCTTAGACCTGATAACCGCTTGACAACGAGCTGGCATAGAGTCAATCAGCTTTTCAATTGTGGAAAGAGGAATTTTGGCTCATTCTATACGCAATGTTTGAAGTAGAATTGTCTTGGTGGTTATTTCTCGTTAACGGATCCTTCTATCTAGCTTGTCCCAGAGATGTTCAATTGTATTCAGATCTGGACTTTGACTAGGCCAATCCAACACGAAGACTCCATTCTTAGACAAAAAGGTTTTAACATGTTTTGAGGCATGTTTGGGATCGTTTCATGTTGGAATTGCCAGTCACCCTCGAAAATTTCTTCGGCATGTTCCAACATATTATCTTTTAGTATGTCAGCTTATTTAAAGCAGTCCATGATGCCTTCTATGTTGACCAAAGGGCCAATACCAGCACGTGAAAAGCATCCCCAGACCATAACATGTCCTCCGCCGTGATTTACGGTTGGAACTTAGTAGCGGACATTGTCTCGAATGTTGATAGGACGTCTAACATACCATATTCCGTCTGATGAAAATATATAAAAGTTGCTTTCATCGCTAAATAGAATGGTCGACTACTGCTGTGTTGTCCAAGACTTGTACTTAATAGCAAATGAAAGTCTGGCCTTCCAGTTCTTTACAGAAACCAATGGCTTCTTGCTGGGGCATTGACCATTCAAACCCAAGTGGTTCAAGCGACGTTTTACAGTTGATACATGAACATTAACACCGTGTGAAATGTTTATATCACGAGTAATGTCTACAGCTGTAAGGCGGGGATTTGCAACTGATCTCCGTCGAAGGTCCCTATCGATTCTCTCGGTTGTTTTTCATGGCCTTTCCGATCTTTGAGCATTCTTTACTATGCCATGGGATGGAAATTGTTGGTTCCATACACTGATAATCTGTCTAGATAGTCCAAAATCTCTTGAAACACTAGCTTGTGAACGAGCACTTGGTAATTCTGCATTAACCGCCTCTTTTAGATCAGTAGAATACTTTTTAACCTTCGGCATTTTGGTTAGAATGGTCCATGCAATGTATAAAAACGGCAATTAAATACCAAAACAAAGTAATTACAAAATAAATTAGGTGTTAGCGCTAACAAATACACCTGTCAAAATACTTTTGAGCGCTGTATTTTGAAAAAAACAGACTTTTTTACTTATGCCTACGTTGTCAGCTTCTTTTCCAGAGGATAACAGCTGCAGATTGCTGCACTCTTCACTTGAAAATGGTCGGCTACTTACTGTCATGCAGTTCCATGCCATTTAGTGGTCTAAACTAATTGTCAAAATACTTTTGAGCGCTACTGTATCTTCATCAGAAATAACTCTTAGTCTATTTATTATTGTTTACACTGCCCACTCTACATTTTTTCATGCGGGTAGATCATAGCCGGCCCCATTCACTTCTTAGTCTTCTTGCCTAAAGTATCCATCTCTTCTTATTCTTGTTTTCACAATATGAATTTTTCAGATGTTAGTTGTGAATGAATTTATTGTTTTCATGTTAGTATGAAATTTGAAGAAGGTGTTACTTTAGACATATCTTTCCTTTCAAAGTTGTATTTTTGAGGTATAATTAACCCAAAAAACATTTAATGGATTTATAACTCCATCAAAACAATTATTTTACTCTTTCATTTGCATATCAATATTGAAAATTGAATTTTCCTATAAAACAATAGCCGTAAGATGTTGTATGCCCGTTATAAATATTTACATTTGGTATTTTGGTATTGTTCATGTTAGATTAGATATATTAAGAAGTTATCATTCATAACTTTGAAAAATTAAGTGCAGCGGTAGACTGCTTCCTTACAAAGTATCCCGGGCAATGTTTATCGGCTAAAGATCTACCACAAAACACGGAGAGAACCTTTAAGCTTTTCGTTAAAAGGTGTGCACTAATATATCTGCGCCATAAGCAACCATCATTTTATATTTATTTAAAATAAGTATAATTAAATAATACAGATTTAACACTAACACTACTCGAGAAGTTTAGGACATAAATACACAACTATTTTACTTTAATATCGTTTAACAACAATAAATATTATCATAGAATATTGATATAACTAAAATAAAAACAAATTTTATAAGAGAGGAAAAATTAAGTTATCGATTCTATGCAATTTAATAAATAAATTTTTGCAATAATCTCTAGCGGAAACTATTATACTTAAATTAATGAAATATTTCTGGCTTAAAATATAACACAATAGAACCTCATTAATCTGGACCCCATTAAATAGGACTATGCTTAATCTGAACAGTCATTTATTAAATAAAGACCTACAAAGCCCCCCCCCCAAAAAAAAAAACAGCCCGGCTCAGCATAAATAAATAAATAAAATATATAATTTGCAATTTGTTTTACATAATACTGTCAGGGTTATGCAAGACATACAAAATAAAATTTTCTAACACTATCTTAACCAGTGAGCATTGTTTTACCTATTCATAGAGCAAAAAATGAATGCCAAAATTAAATTAAAATTCTTTATTTTTAATTATTTGTTTTGTTTAATTCAGATTTTCATCATAACAGACAACCTAGAGACTTAATTGGTCCAGTTAATGAAGTTCTACTATATATGTTTATTTATACTGGTATGAAAATCACAAAAATGAAATTTTTTAAATTTTTTAAATTTTGTCACTAATATTGGCTATATATGATATATCAGTAAAGTAAGATCTCAATAACATGGGATAAACCTCTAAAATTAGGGTGTATGAAACCATAAAAGTGCTGGATTTAAAAAAAAAGTTATGTTACCAGAAGTTATAGTTAAAATAATTTCAGACTATTGAAATTCATCTAAATTCAATATAATAAATATGCAACAAAAAAACTAGAAAGAATATTCTTAGTATAGCTATTATTTTAGGAGAAAGTGAGTGTCTAATGTAAAAAGGATAGATTATCATCCTATAGAGATGCCCAATTAAATTTAAATAAATGAAAAGTATGAATTATTAAAATAATTACCTCATAATAAACATTCAATCATTGATTCATATTAATCAGAAAATTTTATGAAGTCCAAGTCCAAAGAGAAAGAATTTTCAATAAAAATGTAAGGATCGTGCTGCAAAAAAAAAAAAGAATTTAGATTAATGTTACTCGGACATAATAAATAATTCATACCATATTTCATGATATACATCATAGATCTATAACATAAATAACAAATCAACTAAAGTTAGGACTTAAATTGCTCATAATATCAAAATACACTGAAACATGTTTAACTTTAATTTGATTTCTTCCATATAGTAGATAAATTTTTTTTTTGTCTCAAGTATTTTTTATTTTAGCTCTGATGATGTGTAGCTGAGAAAGTATTGGTTTTATTCTACTTTTTTTAAAAATTTTTTATTATGTTCAAAAAACTCTAATTTCTTAAAATCTACATCAAATTAAAGCTATTATAATATACTTTAAGATGAAAACGTATCCGAATTTCGATTTATAGGAGTTATCTGATAATAACACATAAATTTATACAATTTTCGGTAAAAATGGGTGGTTTGTTGTTTTTAGTAATAGAATACCTACATTATTCTTAATTATTTCAAGTTAAAGCTTACAAAGTAAATATAATATATAATTAAAAAAAAGTAACAACAACTTGTTCTCTATAAGTATTTCGCCCCTTTTGTTTTACATATAGTCAATATTTAGAGGAATAATTAGCCAGAGCTATTAATATAGTCATCACAGGTTTGTAAGTTGATTGCAGATGGCTTTGTTTGCTAAGTAGCTGACAAATTGGAGTCATCATCCATTTGTCTGAAGAGGACCAAACTATTTTGTTCCAAAATATATAAAGTTTAGAAACTACTTTAATAAATTTACACCTATAATAATATAACTTATCTCCCTAGCAAATCCATAGCATCAAACACTACTGTGGTGGATCTTTCTGAGCTTCTTTTTAATGGAAATTGAATAGATATACTGCAAGATAGTCTTGTGAAATTTGTAATAAATTAACTGTCAATTTTTAGTATGCAAGTTCATGTATTGTAACTGCTTATTGAGGTTTATGTAAATAATTTTGTGCATATATATTATATTTTCCTATTTTCTCATATTTAGATATGATAAGTGTATTTTTGTATTTCTTATTTTATTCCTTTTTCTACTGTTTGTGCTTAATAATTTTGATCAATATTACTGTATATACTCATGTTCTTAATTTTTAATTGTTAAATTAATCTGTCACAAATAGTAATTTTGGGTTAAAGCCCATTTGTATATAAAAACAAAATAAGTAGTATATTACTATAGAATCTAAATTTTATTAAAATTAAAAACATAAGGCGTGAAATTAAAATATTATAACATAAGATTAATATGTTTGCTTACCCTTATCTCAAAAAAATGTTGAATATTTTTTGTTTCAGTTTTAAAGAAATTGTGATTATTGAGTCATTATAAGTTAACTTAAAGCAAATAACATAAAAATGAAACTATATTATAGATAAAAAAATGTATTATATTACAGGGATAAACAAAAATTAAGGTAAGATAGATAGCAAAAAAAAACCATTATTATAGTTGTATTTAGGATAGGATTGATAGATCAAAACATAAAGATATTATCAAAATGTCGATACTATCGTGTCTATATTTTGATATTGAAATTTTTTTAAATTGATAACCATTTTTCAATATTATGTTTCAAGTTTAATTTGCTAGAGTGCATTATTAAAAATACTATCAATCTGAAATATTTTATAATAAATCGACGTTAAGGCGAAAAATCAAAATATCATTAAGTGTACAACAATATACTTGATTATTAGATTATAGTCTAAATTAGACTGTCTAATAATTATAAATTATAATTAGTGGTATACTTGATTATAATTCCTGTCCATTGTTAAACATAATTATTTATATTTTTATAATGTAAATAAATTAATCAATGCTTTTAAAAACCTCAATCACCAATCCTCGAATGAAATAATTTAGAGACCATAGTAAAATTCATTTTTCTATGTTAGAGACTATACGATATAAAATTATGCGATTGTTCTCATAATTTACCATTAGTTACAAGTATAGATTATAAGTATATAGATGGAATGCTCTATGCATTTAGAATAGTATTTTTAAACTAAAAGTATATAATTAAAATATCATTGATTATTTCTAGGTGGTCGAGAAAACCTTTGTATTCCTAAATTAAAGTAATTTAGATAGGAAATTCGATACAAAATTTTATAAGCTTTAATTTGGTATATAATTATTGCCTGGACTCGTCTCCGAACTTGGTCAAAAGTACAAAAAACCGAGCGCAAGTCGGAGAATATAGTTTTATTAGGGCAGATATTGCCCAGCAATTTTTTTCATACGTGTAACTAGGGATACTCGAGTACCATTTTTGACTTATGCTTTACGATGAAAAATTTTATTAGCTTTAATTTGGTATATAATTTTTATGTTAACACCCTACATAACTCTGTCAAAAGTCCAATATATTAAAACATATTTTTTTAACTAAGTAGCGCACTCTAGCGGTTTATATTAGTGGTGTGAATTTTCGTTCCTTTAGTGGAATCGTTCTTTTCGGTACAGTTACTTAAAAGTAACGATTCCAAAGTACTCGGTACACCGGTACTTTTACTTTTTTGTAATTGAGTACCTTCATTGCGACCCGTTACCAAAACCAAACCAGTATTTATTCATCATATAAACAGTCGTATCTACGCGGGACGTTAGTAGATACAGTACAAATTTTAAATCCCTGAATACATCTATGCCATTTACTCATCAGGTAATGTTTTAAAAGGCGCGAATGAATGGTTTTCGGAAAATGTTTAAATAAGGATTTTTTTTTTTAGCAATATATATATACAGAATTATTGATAGGGATAATATTAAATTTTAATGAAAAAAATAGATACCTTACCACAAAATAAATATATAACCGTATTTTTTAGACACGTACAGAATAATATAACATCACTTAAAATTCGCCTTGACTATTATTTCCTTATTTTAATCAGATATTTTTACTATTTATGCACAATTAAACTTATTAATGTATAATATTATATTATAATAAATACAATATAAATCGTTCAGTTATGTATAGGAATATATTTGACTATATATGTATTTGTTTATATATACAGATATATTTGTATAATCAACTAGACAAATGAAAAATAAAGTATACCTAATTCGAATTATTTGGGCCTAGCAAATATGAGGTATAATCAATCATAACAGTTTAAACTATCATGTTATTAACCAATATGTTTAATAACATAGTGTTTTTTTTTTAAATTATGTATATTGCAAGATTAAAAATATCTTCAAAACAATATTTATTTTAAAAAAACTAGCACAGTGGGGTCGTGGCATAGTTGGGTCCAGTATAGATGATATCTGACAGTGATTAAAATCACTATCATAAAAAACGCTTCGATGCAAATCTGTAGATAGTGTTTAATTAAAAAAAAAAAATTTGTCAAAAAAGTAGGTAAAATGAGAGCTGAGAAAATAAATGATAGCTACAAAAAAAAACTACATATACACATGTAAACTAATATTAATATGAATTTCTTCTCACGAGAGGAGACTACAGTAATGGAATCCTTGATATTTATTGAAGTTATTGAATCTAAATGAGATAAAAATCAAATGAGTTAAACATTTTTTTTTAACTCAAAAGTATTAAAAAAAAATTTAGTGCCACAGTCGTGAAAGACCCAAGTGTTACCGTCTCAAAAACCGTACGTCTCATTCGTCACTTAATAAAAATGGAAATTTAGCTAGTTCAAATTTTAAAGTTATTTTTCTCGACTTCAAAGAAACAAAAAAATTTAAATATGATTATGTCATTTAGATTGATATAATATTTATGAAAATCAGTGTAATCCCCTTATAATAAAATAAAATACAAAACCAAGAATTTTAACACAATAATAACATATTTTTAAATACGGTAGCTATTTTCACCATGTATTCTCCTAATAAGATATTTTAAAATAAAATAAAATACAAAACCTAGAATTTTAATAGAAAAATAGCATATTTTTGAATACGGTAGCCATTTGCGCATAGAAGGTCGTCGGGACAAATTTTTTTTTGATTTTATAGTACATAAAATAAACTATATTTTGATATATGTTTAAAGGACGCAGTATTTCCGGAACATTTTTAAAAATTAAGTTGAAAAAGTTAGTTTTTGTAAAAAAGTTGCAATTTTAAATCCNCCGGAACATTTTTAAAAATTAAGTTGAAAAAGTTAGTTTTTGTAAAAAAGTTGCTATTTTAAATCCTCTTTGTGAGCAGAATAAGTGTTAGATTTTCAAAAAAAATGATATCAAACGAAAGGAAATTACCTAAGGTTTCAATATAAAAAAATATTATTTTGATTTGTTTATTTTTGAAAAAGTTATGGAAGTTTTAAGAAAAAAAAGTGACAAAATTTACCGGTTTTTAAATTTGTAATTTTTTTCGATATTTCCCCCATTTTCGGGGAACGAGGGAAAATTTTTCAATTTTTAAGGGTAATTTCTTCAACTAGATACGATTTGTGATCTTTTGACGTATTGTTGATAGAAATCGGTCCAGTGAGAGCTGAGAAAAAGTGATAACAGACATAAAAAAAAAAAAAAACATATTATAGTAAAATTAATACCTTCTCAGCTTCGCACCGAAGCTAAAAAAATTTCGGACTTTATTTTATCTTCATGGTGAAAACAAACATCAAAGTTAATTAAAAAAATACAATTTTTGTAAAAAAATTCTTTTTTATATTTTTAACTTTATAATGCTATAACTTTTTGAAAGATGTATGGATCAATATAATTCTTTTTTTTTATAGATGCATGATGTCTTTACCTATCATTTGGTATATTTTTTTTTATACCTGACCCTTTACCTGTCTACAGGGGGGTATTTAAAATGACAACTTTTTCACAAAAAATTTACTTTTTCAACTTAACTTTTGAAAATGTTCCGGAAGGTCTGACACTTTTATATATATCTTAAATTAAAGCTAATGTAATGTACTTTAATTTGAAAAAAAAAAATTTGATCTCTGGACTTGTTTTCATGGTGTAAACGGCTACCGAATGCTATTATTGTGTGAAAATTCTTGATTTAATTTTTTACATTTTTAACTTTATAATGCTATAACTTATTGATAAGTGTATGGATCAACATAATTTTTTTATGAGAAATACTATTTTCTAATAATCTCTTTTTTATTCGACATACTTTATCTTAATCAGGATATTAATAAGGAACTAGCAGATCATGTAGCTTTTGGAATAATCCACCAATTTTTTAAAATTAAACACTATCTAAAGATTTGGATCGAAGCGTTTTTTTTTTATAGTGATTTTAATCACTGTCAGATATCATTATACTTGATTCAACTATGCCACGTCTGCACTGTGCCGCAACCCCCCCCTGTGCTGGGTTTATTTGTTGTTATATTTGAGAGTCAAACTGTTTCCAAATGTCTACGGCTTCAGTTTCACTTTGACTATTATCGTTCGCGTGGTGGTCCTGTTGTTCTATATCTGTTTGATGTATTTCTTTTTGTTGCTTTGACAAAATAAATCCAGCTACTCGATGTACAATCTTGTCATAAATACGTTGATATGTAAAATGATTAACAAAACCTTTTTTCTTTAAACGCGGATCTAAAAGAGTAGCATCGGTTAGAACTGGCTGATCTTCAATACCTTGAAATTTTTTTTCGGCTTTGACGATCATTTTGGCAAGCATTGTATGAATTACTTCGGGTAATTTAATATCATTAAATTTTTCTTTAATATGACAGAATAATACATTTGTTAAAATTAATACTTTGGATATTGACACAGCTCTTTCAATACTCAATTCAATAGTAATTTCTTTAAAGGATTTAAAAATATCACAGTAGTATTGCATGTATTATATCACAGTCTTCATAAGATATATTCTCAATATTACCTAAAATTGCTACTGTAGATATTATTGATTCTTTCATTCGAATACACCTCTCAAACTCATCGTACGTAGAATTCCACCTCGTAGTTATGCCTTGAATTTGTTTTAAATCTGTATAACCCATTTGTTTTTGCATATTTTTTAATTTACTGTAAGCTTGAGAACTACATTTAAAATGTTCAACTATGCGTTTAACTTTTTTATAGACAATTTGTATTGCATCTAATCCGCTTTGAGCAATAGTATTAACACTATGAGCTAAGCAAGGTATATGACACCAATTTTTATTCATATTTATTGTAGCTGTAATATTAGCGGCGCTGTCACTGCAATTTTAACTTTTTCAGTTATTTCCCATTCTTTAAAACAATTATTTAAAAAAATTGATAAATTATTTGCCGTATGCGATTTTTCAAAATAATAACATCCTAGTAAAAATAGCTTTTAAGTGTATTCATTTTTGTCAATATAATGAATAGTTAATGCAACAACTGTCATTATTAAGGGATGTCCACCCATTAGTTGTAAATGCAATATAATGCGAATTAATTAAATTCGTTATAACTTTTTCTTTAGCTTTTGCGTATAATTGTGACGAAATTTATTTAGAAAAATTTCTAAAAGATTGGCTGTTGAACCTCCCTTATAAGAAAAAATATTAGTGCAGCAGTATGAACACTTGGCTTTTTCATCACTTATGACCGAAAAGTGGTTCCATACTACACTCGTCTTTTAGCTTCGATGCGAAGCTGAGAAGTTATTGGTTTTACTAAGATGTGTTTTTTTTTTTTTTTTTTTTTTTTTTTTTTTTTA